TGCATTTCAGCTACAGGTCAACCAATATAAACATACAAATTAACGTCAGCTCAGCAGCTCAGACACTGAGCCCAAGTCTTAATGGACCTGCAGCAAAGAAAGGATGCCAGGGGTCTAGTTCAAGCAAATGGGTCATTCTACAGAAATGTCCACTTTTCTATCTCTCCATATTAGTCACTGGTGTTACTGATCCTCATTGGTGTTACACATAATAAAGGGAACACCAGAGACATTTTTAATGAAGAATGCATTTTACAAAATGGCTGCTACCGAGCATCAAACCACATGTTGTCAATCATGGAATATCCACCAAAATATGTAATTTAATCCGTTTGTATTCTGTTTTTTCACCATTACCTCAGAATAAAGTCGGTCACACCAGTGACTTCAGCTAAAAGCTTCATATGAAATCATGAGCTAAATGAGAAAATCTCTGATAACTGAAAGACACAGTGGACTCACCATGAGCTTTTTTTCACAGATCCTCAGAAAACAGGTAAAAGGAAGTCGTGATGTCATTAGTGTGACTTACACAGTAACACCAGTGACACGACTTCTGGAGACCACAACTTTCATTATATATTTTATAATATTTATTTGGCATTTTTTTCTTTATGTCATTTAATTCATATATTCCATAGTCATGTATAGATTATTGTGGTTAAAATTGCAGAAAAATGTGTTTTTTTCTTCAAAATATGGCCTCAGCCTTCACACATGACTGTGAGGACGAGCTCTTCTGTGGTGCTTGGAATTCTAGATAACTGATTTAAAAACCAATATTGCTAAATTGATGCCTCAAGAAGGTGTAACTGTTAAAATAACTTGTTGTTTTATTTTAAAATATAAATAAATTGTAACCTCAACATGTTTTTGAAGTGTAATGTATCTGTAAACGCTAGAGACACAAAAATGGACATTTCTCTATAATGACCCAAATAGGTAGGGTTAAAAGACTGAGCTCCTGGGGACTTTTACATTTTTAATATTTCAAGTATTCATGTAATATTTCAAGGTCTACTACAAGTGTCTGTATTTTAGTGTTGAAGTTTTTGCATGTTTTAATTAAACAGTAGTCTGTTCGGGTCACAGCACAACTTTAATTAAAAATGAAATAAAAACTTTTTTTCTCTGACCCACAGATTTGATGAGATTTTTTAAAATGACTCTTTTACTGGTTCAGTTTGACACCCTTGTCCAGGCTGAGCTGCAGGGATAGCTCTGGGCCGAGTCCTCAAATGCACCAGCACATCACACTCATGACTGGTCAGTTGCACCAGCTGCGTCATCATTAGCTGAGTGTGAAGTTCTCCTTCCTGCGCAGACTAACACCTCCTTATCTCACAGAGCTTCTACATTGACTGTGTGTTCACCCACATGCTGCTCTACTGCTGCTCTACTGCTGCTCTACTGCTGCTCTTAATCACCAGTCTAACATCAACAGGGGTGGATCATTCAGCGCCACCGATCCCAGACACTGGACAACCATCCTGCACTTAAAAATGATGGTTCTTCAAGGGTTCTTTAGTAGAGAAAATGGTTTAATATAGAACCATAAACATTCTACACACTTAAAATGATGGTTCTTTAAGGGTTCTTCAGTAAAGAAAATGATTTATATAGAACCTTAAAAATTCTACACAATGAAAAATGATGGTTCTTCAAAGGTTCTTTAGTAACATTCTACACACTTGAAAATGATGGTTCATCAAGAGTTCTTTAGTACAAAAATAGTTCTATATAAATCCATAAACATTCTACACACTTAAAAATGTTCTTCAAAGGTTCTTTGGTAAAGAAAATGGTTTATATAGAACCATAAACATTCTACGTACTTAAAATTGATGGTCCATCAAGGGTTAAAAGTAAAGAAATGGTTCTATATAGAACCATAAACATTGTACACAATTAATATGATGGTTCTTCAAGGGTTCTTCAGCAAAAAAATGGTCCTATATAGAACCATAAACATTCTACACACTTGAAAATGATGGTTCTTCAAAGGTTCTTTAGTAACATTCTACACACTTGAAAATGATGATTCATCAAGAGTTCTTTAGTACAAAAATGGTTCTATATAGAACCATAAACATTCTACACACTTAAAAATGTTCTTCAAAGGTTCTTTAGTAAAGAAAATGGTTCTATATAGAACCATAAACATTGTACACAATTAATATGATGGTTCTTCAAGGGTTCTTCAGCAAAAAAAATGGTTCTATATAGAACCATGAAAATTCTACAGACTTAAAAATGATGGTTCTTCAAGGGCAAAGAAAATGATTCTATACAGAACCATAAACATTCTACACACTTGAAAATGATGGTTCTTCAAAGGTTCTTTAGTAACATTCTACACACTTGAAAATGATGATTCATCAAGAGTTCTTTATTAAAGAAAATGGTTTATATAGAACCATAAACATTCTACACAATTAAAATGATGGTTCTTCAAGGGTTCTTTAGTGAAAAAATGGTTCTATGTGGAGCCATGAACATTCTACACACTTGAAAATGATGGTTCTTCAAGGGTTCTTTAATAAAGAAAATGGTTCTATATAGCACCAAAAAGGCTTCTGCTATTGTTTTGATGTCAAGCTTTGGTGCTTTATAGACTCATTTTCAAAAAGGTTCTATATAGAAGCATCTACAGCACATTCCCCATCAATCTGAAGAACACTTTAACAATGCAAAGAACTCTTTAATCATGCAACGCATTCTTTGAGTGTTAATGGTTCTATATAGAACCATTTTCTTTATTAAAGAACCCTTGAAGAACCATCATTTTTAAGTGTGTACAGCCTCCATGTCACTGCTGTCCTGGATCCTATTTCAAAAACTTCAATTACATTTTTTGTCTGAACGCTATCTCTTTTTTTGAGAGGCACCATATGAACTATATAAAAAACTGCTACTAATAATATTAAAGATTAGACTCTGGTTAAGTAATATTAAAGAGGAAAATAGATTCCACCAATCAATTAATCAACCATTCAGATTTTATAACTAAGTCGTTCAGAGTGGTTTGGTGTGAAACGCTCTGTTCTGGATAAACTTACCGAGTCAGAACTGTTCACAGTGGTGGTGATAGGAACCAGACATCCACCTCTAAAAGCTCCCTCACAGAAAGTTACTCCATGAACTGGTTATGAATTCACTGCCTGATGTCTGAGACATTTTTACAATAGTTCTGAGAGGATTTTGGCTTAAAACACTTTATAAAAACATATGTAGGCTATTGTAAGACAAAAGTTATTTTCCTCAGATTCATCACTATTTTCCATCATCAGTATTACATATAAAAGCTCAGAAGACACATATAGGTTCCCTGGTGGTTCTGGATAGTGAATAAAATGTCTATATTTGTGTTGTATTTTGTTGCCATCGCAATCACTGTAAAGAAACGTTTGTCTCCTGCACTTTCTAACATCTAAACGCTACAACTGAATTATGAAAATTTGAATGATCTGTTTTCTGTAAGGTAGGAAATTCATGCGACCTCTTGAATCGGAGGTGGAGGTGATATTCTGCACATAGATGTCGGAGACAACCAGATGTCTATCGCGCAGCTCAGAGACTTCCTCCCGCTAATAAAACAGGTGTTTTCTGAAAAAATAAAGTCGGTTCTCATTTCAAAGAGACGTTTATTGAGTCCTAGTATATACAGCATGATGCACAAGCTCTACTCATTACAATATTACAGATAAAGCAAAGCAAGAGACAGTGTGAAAATACTTTTTGACGGACTTTAAAACAAACGCTACTTTTTTGGACATTTCTTGCTATGAGTGCTTTGAAACCCACACATTTGCATTCATAGCTTGTTTATGAGAAAGAGAAAACCGGGGTTGTGATGCAATGCTGCGTGTCATACAGTGACTACACAACAGCTACTTTCTCAAAATGACGTAAAATGAACAAACATATATAAATAAAGCGTATCTGTAGAAAGACAGTGGGTTAAAAACACATAATCCAGTACATTTCATCTCCAGTGTGTGTGCATGTTCTTACTGTTACTACAGAACACTCGGTTACTCAGTTTCTTCCTTCTGCAAGGCAAGATAAGGTTGTTTTTGACAGATCGTTTGTAGATAATGTCTTTTCAGACAGAGTGTGTGGTCTGTGGGTGTGTTAAGAAGATCCTCTTAATGTCTCCATACTGAGTTTTAACATGTGCATGTTGAATATTAAAAATAATAATGTACATTGGTTTTAAAAAACAATTGCAGATTTGTTTTATTATCTAACTCAATGTAATGCAATGAGATAACCAAACCGCCATCATAACGGTTGAAAAAACAAAATATTATCTAATTTATTTGGATTTTGTTTCAGTTTTAAATTTAATTCCACCTTGTACAGCCTTCCTGTGTCAGGTGTTGATTTGTTGTTTATAATGGTAACTGTAAATTGGGACCTAGTTTCCATATTGTTCCTGTACACCAATTACTTATCAATTTCTTTCTTTCTTTCTTTCTTTCTTGCTTTCTTTATTTGCTTTTATACTTGATTCCACCTCAAACAGCCAACTTGTGTCAGGTGTTCTTTGATGTTAACACTGACCAGCCACTTCATTATGACCACCTCCTTGTTTCTACACTCATTGCCCATTTTATCAGCTCCACTTGCCATATAGAAGCACTTTGTAGTTCTACAGTTACAGACTGTAGTCCATCTGTTTCTCTGCATACTTTGTCACCCTGTTCTTCATTGGTCGGGACCCCTACAGGACCACCACAGAGCAGGTATAATTTGGTTGGTGGGTAAATCTGAGCACTGCAGTGACACTGACGTGGTGGTGGTGTGTTGGTGTGTGTTGTGCTGGTGCTCTTAAACACTGTGTCCACTCACTGTCCACTCTTTTAGACAAGCCTACCTTGTCAGTCCACCTTGTAGATGTAAAGTCAGAGACGATAGCTCATCTGCTGCTGCACAGTTTGTGTTGGTCATCCTCTAGTCCTTCATCAGTGGTCACAGGACGCTGCCCACAGGACACTGTTGGCAGGATGTTTTTGGTTCTCAGTCCAGCAGCGACACTGATGTGTCTGACAGTGAGTGCAGAAACAACAAGGTGGTTTTAATGAAGTGGCCGGTCGTTGTATAGCAGTAACTAAACCTAGTTATCCCAAAGTGCTTGGACCCCTATAATTGCCGCTTGCAGCTGTAAGCCTTTCTTCCTCTGGACCTCCTTTGTATTTAATTTGTCCTACAGTGTGACGGATGTATGCCTGGAGCTTCCTGAGCTGTAGAGGGAGCCGATTCGGTACCGGGAGAGCACCTCTCTTCCAACCAGACCCTTCTTGAAGAAAGACATGAAGAGTTGGTTCCTGAACTTCTTGCCGATGAAGGCGTAGAGTATGGGGTTTATGGCACAATGAATAAAGGCCAAAACTTGAGTCATATGCAAGGCCATTTCCAATTTCTCCCGGAGTTCACATGTGTCCTTTATCAGGTTTCCCCGTGTGAGCGTGTCGATGAACTCCGCGATGTTGTTGGGGAGCCAGCAGACCACGAAGGCCAAAACCACGCAGAGGATGACCCGCATGGCCTTGTGCTTCTGGCTGTTGCGGGAGTGGAAGAGGGTGCCCACCGTCCAGCCGTAGCAGAACAGCATGACTATCAGAGGCAGGAAGAAGCCCAGCGTGTGGCGGAGAATCCTCAGAGCCACGCGCCACTCATCCAGGCTTTCAGCCGTGACGTTCTCGTAACATGTCATGGAATTGTAGCCGTCTAAATGCAGGGCCTCGCGCTGCACCACCTGTAACAACAGCCAAATTAGGCACTGCCACTCTAAGACATACAGACCCTTATTTTGAAATTGCCTAAGATTTGCAAACTGCTCTGTGTCTGATTTATGAAACTTTCAAACGATGTGAAAACAAAAACAGACATTTAAGCGCAACTGATGAATTTGTTTCAGTGCGTAAAAACAAGTGCCAGCCTACCAGCACTTCATTTACATATCATTTACATAAAGCACGCTCTGGAATTGTTGCATCATTTGTTAATATGAATGTAAAATATTACCATGTGCACAAATTATTAGCATTATCATTGCCTTCTATTTTTATTCTTGTTTGTTTTACAGGTGATATTAATAGTAATTTTGGTGAGCTAATCAAGCACTTTCGCTCAGGTTCTTAAACTGTTACGCTTAAATTAACACAGCATATCTTCTGTTTCTCTTAGTTTGAATAGATTTCACATCTAATTTTAGTTTCAGAAAAAGACGGCATGAAGCACAAGTAGAGATCATGCCATTAGAGTTACATGATATCAGACATCACACATGGAATAGAAGTTATAAGTCTTTATAACGAACCTGAATTGCTTAATAAAATGCTTAATAAAAAAGAGGCAAATGTCATGGTGGTCATTGGAGCGTCTTGCCAACAAGGAGTTGTCTTGTCATCATCAAGCTGTGTTTCAGCTCACTCAGCCAGGTGGAAAGGAACTGCAGGGCCTGGCTCTGAAAACTGCAGCTGCCTTGTTCCCATGAGAGTGTAATGACCTAGGTCATCATTACACGCTGGTGGTCAAAATATCTACGCAGAATGCACAAAACCAAGGCAGGTGCTGATTGATCTGCGTGGGCCTACATTAAGTTGAGCCTATGAACTCACTGTCTTACAATGCTTTGTAAGTATTTATGTTGGAAAGCTTTGCGAATCTGGCCCCTGACAACTGAGATTTCATTTCTGCTTTGTGAATCTGCAAATATCTGTGGTCATCACACACAGATGTTCACATAGCTGTCTGCCACCATACTTTCATGTGACACCACTTCAAACCGGAATATATGGAAATAAAGAAGAAACCGAGAAACAGCGATACCTTTTTCACTCTGGGAGAAGTCTCAGTGTTGCATTGTAGTTTTGAGAGAACGGACAGATTAAACAGAAAGGAAGCTACACTATGTAGATGCTGGGGATTTGGCGACCTCTCTGGTGGAAATGTGTAATTGCATGCAATGTGCAGAAGAGTGTTTATAATGTGGGTTGTGCTTCAGACACCTGATTCTGATTATTGCGATCACATTTAAAGAGAATTAAAAGAGAACTCAGTCAAAACTTGGTGAAGGACGTGTCTTCTGAGGATGTGAGTGAATGATCTACGATTGTCACCGTAACTTCATCAGTACACTGTAAAAAAAAATTGTTTATCAGCTCAACCTAAAAGAATGGCTTCATGTGGTAACAAGCAATTGAACTAGCTTTGTTCAACTCAGAATTACTTTGAATGAAACAGTTGTTAACTAGTTAATTTACTTGTTGCCACATGAAGTACATTTTTTGTTATGTTATAGCTGATTAACCATTTTTACAGAGTATAATGTTGATGCATCTAAACCTCGAGCCAGACCTTCTTTTTGAGACTGTTCACATGACGCTAATACATAAAGACGTATTACATGGTCAGAAAAACTCCAGACTCGATATTTTAGCATGTTTTTTGGGGGTTTTGAGAAGGCAGAGACAGCATGACAATCATTAACTATGCTCACTCTTATAGCTGATGTCAGCTAGATGATCCAGACCTAGAAGCACTGAAAATATCTTTATCTGAAATTACACATCCTCCACTGAGGAGGAAATACCTAATGTAGGTGTCTGGTTAGCTCTGATAGTGCATAAGTTCATCTGAAGAGGCAGCCCCATTTACTCATCTAAATCCTACAGATTTCCCTCGGCTGTTGTTGAATGATGAACCTGTTTCTAAATGAATTTTCCGTGCGCTGCTATACAACAAAATCACATCTGCTGTTTGATTTTATCATTTTCTCACCACTAAAACAATCATAACACTACCGAAACTTCACCAAATGATTCAGCAGTGACTGTTCCGGTCGTGATGATTCGAGCTCATTTTGTGCAGAACTCAAAAACGCAGCCAGTACATGACTAACGAACACAGCTTTGAACTGCTGCACAGACATAAAATCATCATAATTTTCATTAAAACACAAAACAGTTTAATTGCATAAAATTCTTAATGTGCCACACTGATTTTCAGACTTTGGGGCACATTTACTTCAAAACAATGGGATCTGGGAACTGTGGCCTTTAGGGATGCAGCCTCACTTCTTGCTCTAAAATGCAGGGGCGTGTCTAAAATAAGGTTCCGCCTACAGATTAAACTTGTGTTTTGGTAGTGACATGAAAACATGTGTCAGCATTTTCTGTTTTTTTTTTTTTTATGTAAAAATTAAACTCATGATACATTTACATCTTTCAACTTCTCTTTAAAATAAAATAAAAATAAATAGTTAAAAATACAAAACAATTTTAAGTATTTTTTTTTTCCTTTAATTTAAATTTTATGTGTAAATTTAGGGGTTAGGGTTTAGGGCAGACACTTCCTATGAAAACACCTTATATTTGTAGTAATAAGCTAAATATACAAAATCATCAAATATAAGGTGTTTTCTTCAAAGAAATGGCCCAAAATTACTTGGAAAAAAGTCTGGTTGCGTTGACCTACATTAAAAGTAAAGCAGTTTTTTTCCTTCTCCTGTAAAGTTACCATTTTGGGGATAGGAGGTTTTATTCCGACAGCAGCAATATATATATACATACATATATATATATATATATATATATATATATATATGCAGAAACATCAATTTTTGTGTCCCTAGCATGTTTGGGTTACAATATATTTATATTCTAAAATAAAACTTAGTTATTTTAACAGTTACACCTTCTTCAGGCATCAATTCAGCAATATTGATTTTTAAATCAATCATATAGAATTCCATGCACCACAGAAGAGCTCGTCCTCACGGTCATGTGTAAAGGCTGAGGCCATATTTTGAGGTAAAAACATTATATGAATTAAATGACATAAAGAAAACAAAAGGCAAATAAATATTATATAATATATAATGAAAGTTCTGGTCCCCAAGAGTTGTGTCACTGGTGTTACTGCAGAACAAAAAGTCTCTTATTTTGAAATACAAATCACACTGATGACATCACTTGATTTCTGAGGATCTATGAAGAAAAGCACATGGTGAGTCCACTGTGTCTTTCAGTTATCAGAGATTTTCTCATTTAGCTCATGATTTCATATGAAGCTTTTAGCTGAAGTCACTGGTGTGACCGACTTTATTCTTGGGCAATTGTGACAAAATAGAATAGAAATGGATTAAATGACATATTTTGGTGGATATTGATTGAGAACATGTGGTTTGATGCTCTGTAGCAGTTATTTTGTAAAATGCATTGTTCATTAAATATATATATATATATATATATATATATATATCCCTATTTGTGAGGACGAAATGCACCTTAAACAAGCCTTAAGGAATGTTACATACCACAGGCAGGGACAGCATGAAGGCTCCCAGCCACACCAGCCCGCACACAACCCGCACCAGGTGCCCCTGTTTGGAGATGAACTGGGTGGCCTTGACGATGGCCATGTACCGGTCGATGCTGATGCAGGCCAGGAGGAAGACGCAGCTGTAGAACGTAGTCTCTTGCAGACCTGAGACCACCTTGCAGAGGAAGGTGCCGAAGACCCAGTTGGAGGAGTGGACGTTGACGGCCCAGAAGGGCAGCGTGAGGGAGAAGAGTAGGTCAGCCAGGGCCAGGTTCATCAGGTAGATGTCTGTGGAGGTCTTGCGGCTTCCCATTAAACACAACACGTAGATCACCACGCTGTTGCCCAGCAGGCTGAGGAGGAACACGATCACATAGCTGACCGCAATGCCAGTGCTGTTTAAACCCTCCAGCATAACAGAGCAAGGAACTATGAAGGCGTACTCGGTGCCGTAGAAGTAAGAGTCGTTGTCCATGTTGAAGATGTTTGACTGGAAAAGAAGAAAAATGGTCACTTTACCTCAGTGCACCGTCCACCTAAAGCAAAGACGTGAGGAACGTGAGGGTGAAAACATTCCAGAATAAATATATTTGATGTATTTGATATATTTTGATTGATTTGTTTTTTTTTGTCTGTGTTGACGACTAAATGAGCCATACATCATCTATGAGATTGGAAATGAAGACAACTGGTGCACCATCAGCATAAGGCAAAGATTCGGGGAACTGAAAGTGCAAATACTTCTTTAAAAATATTTTCAGTTTTCTTTTGCCATACACCTCATGAACAATATGTTGGCAGAAGTGTGCATTTTCATAGAAATAATCCAACAGAGACACATAATGTATGAAAGCAAACAAATAACCACAGCAAAGCTGCATTAAAAATCATAATAATGTGCAGGACCAGCATATCACTGCTGTCGGAAGAAAACCTTGTATCTCCAAAATGGTAACTTTACAGGAGAAAGAAAAAACTACTTTATTTTCAATGTAAGTCAATGGAACCAGACTTTTTTCCAAGTCATTTTGGGTCATTTCTTTTGGTCCATTTGTCATGGAATTTAAGCACAATGTAAAGAGCAACAGGCATTTTCAAATTGTGTCAAAAACTGAAAAACAACAAAAACGGAGATACGTTTTCTTCCAACAGCAGTGACATTTATTTCATATGTTTTCCTCTGTAACGGCAATTTTTTATCCTTATTTAGCTTTTAATTTATAATTTTTCATTTGATTTTTAATTATCCTAAATTAATTTCTAAACTGGTTTTTAATGAAACGATTTTCTCTTTTAAAATCTATTGTTTTAATCATGTTTTAATCATGTTTTTAACTTCTGCTCTCCTTTACTTTTTTAACCGACTGTACTTTCTCATTTCTAGAGCACTTTGAATGACAGCAATGTATGAAAGATGCTATATAAATGAACTTGCCTCGCCTCAAGACTGAACATCTTCTATCATCGGTCATTAATGGCCAGTAAGTGTGTGAAGAGAGTGGTTTGTACCCTATGTTGCCCAATCTTCTTACCTTTCTGCTGTTTTTTCTGGTTGGCGATTCTTCTGCAGAGCAGCTCTCGATCAGCTGCGCTTGTGCAAAACAGCCGAACGTCTCCGGGGCTGCAGATGGAATGAAGACATTCACTTCACGCAGAGAAATTTATGACCATTGTCATTTTCTTCCTGTCTGTTTACCACAAGATTCGTCGACGTGCACACACACACACACACACATGCTCGCACACACACACACACACACACACACACACATGCTCGCACAACCACGAAGATACAATCAGCAAAGTTTCACAACAGAGGATGAAAAATGTAAAGGTGGCTTGTGGCACACGCTGAGACTTTTTGTTTTTTTCACAACTATTTATCACTTTCTTGCATCGGTTTTCTTGATCAGGTGTAAACATGCACAGTAAGTATTCTGCATAAATAAAAAGGTTAAATGTAAACAAGCAAAATGTAAGTTTTGCACAAATAACTGAGAAACACATTGCAACACACTACAAAAGGGGGGAGGTTTGGAAGCCAAAAGTAAGTTGGCTTTACAAAGACATTGCTATGGAATTCCAGGTGGTTGCTAAGGTGTTGCCAGGTAAATGCTATGGAATCCCAGGTGGGTGCTAAAGTGTTGCTGGGCCGTTGCTATGGAATCCCAGGTGGTTGCTAAGGTGTTGCCAGGTCAATGCTATGGAATCCCAGGTGGGTGCTAAGGTGTTGCTAGGTCAATGCTATGGAATTCCAGTTGGTTGCTAAAGTGTTGCTGGGCCATTGCTATGGAATCCCAGGTGGTTGCTAAGGTGTTACGAGGCCATTGCTATGGAATTCAAGGTGGTTGCTAAGGTGTTGCCAGGTCAATGCTATGGAATTCCAGTTGGTTGCTAAAGTGTTGCTGGGCCATTGCTATGGAATCCCTGGTGGTTGCTAAGGTGTTACGAGGCCATTGCTATGGAATCCCAGGTGGTTGCTAAGGTGTTGCCAGGTCAATGCTATGGAATCCCAGGTGGTTGCTAAGGTGTTGCTAGGCCATTACTATCGAATCCCAGGTGGTTGATAAGGTTTTGTGAGGCCATTGCTATGGAATCCCAGGTGGTTGCTAAGGTGTTGCCAGGTCAATGCTATGGAATCCCAGGTGGTTGCTAAGGTGCCGTGCTCAGCCCTTCTGAGGACATTCCTGTAGCTAAAGCCCAGCTACGCAACTTCCTTGATGTGGCTTCACTGCTGAAAAAGGACCACTAGAAAACATTAGGATCCCAACTTAATTGTTTTACTTTCTAATGGGAATTTGCTTTATGGCTTCCAATAGACACCACTAGTTTTCCTGCAGAACACCTTTAGATCCCATTAGGAAACCATCAAATGCATTTAGAATCAGCCACTGGTCACCTGTTACACCATTATGATCCTTTATGCTGTAATATCAACCCATTAAAAAAGCAAAAACATATTACAAAACCATCAGGAACCAACTGAGACACTTAACGGTTACTATGGGTTTTTTCAGCAGGGCTACTTGACTGTGCTTACTACCAATAGCTAACATTTTACAGGTAAACTAAAGTTTGGGTGTCTCTTGACTTGGTGTCTTGGTTAAGTCATATAAAAATACTTGAATATCAGCTAAAATAGCCGGGCTGTGGTTTAACTTGAGGCACTAGTTTATAGCCCTTGTGCTAGCATGCTAAATCTTCAGTAGCACAAAAGACTAAAATGTTTTGTTATTCAAAAATAAAAGGTAAACAATTTTCAGTGCAGATATGGCTGAGATTTGGAAAATATGGTGAGGCAAACATTCTGGGAATCAGGAACTTTCTTTTGTGTTTGTAGAGGAGGAAGCTGCTGCTTCAGATAAGCTAACGCAAGCCAACCATTGCAAAGTGAGCTACGTGATGAGGGGGACTCGGTTTCAACATGAAGGCTTTTAGTCACGTCATTGATGGCAGCACAAAGAATAGCAGCTTTAAGAACATTTTTTTATTGCTAAGGCGAACAAAACCCTCAAACTGCACTCCAAAGCCATAGCTCACATTAACATTAGTTAGCCAGCATATATAACATTATCTCAGGAAAACATAACAATACGGCTATAAGAAACTATAAAGAGAACCGTGTGTTTAGTGTGCCTTCATCAGCTTGTGTATACAGTGGAGTTATATATATATGAACATAACTAAGTCATGGTTGTGAAGTTTCAGCAAGCTTCAGTGATACACGGTTAGAAATAAAGGTTCTGTTCAGGTACATTTCTCATTCATCAAGGTACAAACAGTGTAAATGTTCCCTCAAAGGTACAACAGTGGTTTTAAGGTCTGATTGTGAACCTTAAGTAAGTTTTTCCAGGTGAAAAGTTCGTATTTGTACCTTTTCATAACCGAATGTTTTAAACAGAACAGTAAAATAAAAGCCTGGAGACGAGACGGGGTGTGTGGAGTCAGTACAGCTTAGAACATATCATTTCAGTGGATTATGGTACAGTTATGTTCCCTGACTAAAGGCACTGAGATGAACCCTTGAGGGTCCCACCCCAGTGACAAGAGGGGTCCTGCCCCAGTGACAGTTTCATACCTTTCTGAGAGTGTATGGTCTGCCGTGTTCCAGTGAAAAACTCTGCGAAGAGTGAGTTCATTCTCTTCGCATGCTTAAAGGGTTACCCTTTCCTTGTGAGTGTTAACGAACTGAGTTTATAAAACGGATAGTTCCGGTCCTAAAATCTGATTGGCTGAGCCACGTTGGAAGCCGTTGTAAAATCCACGATATACACACACCTATGACGCCTCACAGTGACTGAACTCTGTATCACTGCACCACGGCACAAAAAACCCTTCTGCTGTTAATGGACTCTCATGCTGCTCGCATGGATCACCGAGTGCACTGATGAAGTAAGAACCCATTTTTTTGTTTAAACTGAGGGGCTGACAGCTTATGTTCTTAACTAGAACCAGGCTGGTCAGCTAGCTAACAGGCCTAAACAGCCTAAACAACTCCATCATTAATATCACAGGCTTGAATTACAGTACTTATGATATGATTATCTGTAAAACGGCAGAATAAAAGTCTAAAGAATGTCACTTGAATGGATTACACACTTCAAATGTCCCAGACTGAATCCCAAACGGCTCCGTATTCCCTAAATAGTGTTCTAGCTATGAAAGTTTAGATATTCTAATCTTTACAGCCAAATGGTGCATCATTTGTCGAGTATGGACTCCAATGATAAAACCGCAGTAACGCACCGCCTCTCGTGGCTTATTGCTTAAAAAAGTAATTGTAAGCAAATTATTTGTGAATGAAATACGTGATATGATTTGTGTACCTTTGGGATGCATTTATGATCAAATTACCTCACAGTTATGTGGAAATGTTTAGGCTGTTACACTTTCCTTGGTTGCATTCTAGCAGTTTTGAATTTACCTCATGTTCTACATGACGATGGCCAATCTTATCTGAACCTCTGCAGAGTTAACAGTCTACTGGAGCTGTGAACAGCAGTCAGAAATTAAATTCTGATTTTTCTTGCTTGTTTGTCAACCATTCCAATATAAAGTCAATTCCAGAAATATTAGCACCCTGCAAGAAAGTGAGCAAAAATGTTAATCAAATATAAGTAATACATCCAATGACTCTGTTTTCCCACAAATGGTTGGAGAAATTGCTAATTATTCATTCAATATAAATAATTACTGCATTGGTGTTGTCGTGTCATCAGAATAGATCATTCTGTCAAAAACATGTGGCAAAATTGTTGCCACATTTGACGAATACCATAAATAAAACCCCTGGATGCCTGTTGTTGGGGGATGTTTCCTGATATTGCTTTTAGTGTTTAGGGACTTTACTGTTAGGAAACTTTATTGTTGTCTGTGACCATTTCCTGTTTCACCGGGTATAAATATGAGATAAAACACAGGTAAAATCCCTTCATCATCCATCAACATGGGAAAAACCCAAGTGCTCTCAGTTGAAATACAAAAAAAAAGCTGTTAAGCTGCATAGACTCATGGCTACAAAAAATAGGTCAGCAGTTGAAATTAACAGTAAACACAACCAGGGTTTCATACGTATGGAATAATTAATAATAAGCTCAACCGGGGCCATTGTGAAGAAGTTTTAAAAGCATGAAACAGTTGAAAATTTGCCAGAAAGGTGACGTATCTGCTTACTGCCCCATGCACATTGAACAGGATGCTAATAGAGGCAATAGGAAGCCCAAAGATCACACTGTCACAAGTGCAAAGTTTAGCTGCATCACCATTTGGCCATGCACACCATGCATCACCATGTGGGGCAAATAAATGGGACAGAGTGCAAAGAACGACACCTCTTACCCACAGTAAAATATTGTGGTGGCTCTTTGAAACTTTGGGGCTGTTTTTCTACCAGCGGTCCAACGGCTCTTGTTAAAGAGGGTCCTGAAACTGGGCTGTGTCTTCCAACAAGACAATGACCCAAAGCACATGTCAAAATCGACCAAGATGTGGTTGCAGCAACACAAAATCAAAAGCTTTCTCAGTCTCTAGACTTAAACCCAATTCTATGGTCTTAACTGAAGAGGGCAGCTCACAAGAGGAAACCCCAGAATCTCAACGAGTCTGAAATGTTCTGCATGGAGGAGTGGTGAAGAGGCCGAGTGCTGTCATTCTTGCCAGGGGAGGCTCCACCAAATACTGGTCTGAGTGGATCAGACACAGCAGTGCTGCTGGAGTTTTTAAACACCTCAGTGTCACTGCTGGACTGAGAATAGTCCACCAACCAAACATATCTAGACAACAGCGTCCTGTGGGCAACGTCCTGTGACCACTGATGAAGGACTAGAGGATGACCAACACAAACTGTGCAGCAGCAGATGAGCTATCGTCTCTGACTTTACATCTACAAGGTGGACCGACAAGGTAGTAGTGTCTAAAAGAGTGGACAGTGAGTGGACACAGTGTTTAAAAACTCCAGCAGCACTGCTGTGTCTGATCCACTTGTACCAGCGCAACACACACTAACACACCACCACCATGTCAGTGTTACTGCAGTGCTGAGAATGATCCACCACACAAATAGTACCTGCTCTGTGAGGGTCCATGGGGGTCCTGACCACTGAAGAACAGGGTAAAAGGGGGCTAACAAAGTATGCAGAGAAACAGATGGACTACAGTCTGTAACTGTAGAACTACAAAGTGCACCTATATAGTAAGTGGAGCTGATAAGATGGACAATGAG